ATTGTCATTTTGGGCTGATTTAGTTTTGGTAAATTGTTTTTATCAATACTTCTTGATACAACTGTTTTGTGGGATATTAATAAATAACATCTTTTTAGACATTTTTCAATTCCATACCTAGCTTATTAAAATTCTCCAGTGTAATTACTTCACATGTTCTTGATTTTGTGGGCAGGATTTGATTAGTTCAGATGTAAATCTGATTGGCTAAGAATTAAAAAATAAATAATGTATTATCAACCTTGTGATACCAATCTTAAATAATTAAGAATATGGAATATATTTCAGTTGAGAAAGATTTATAATCAGTAGGTATTTTACGGTTGTTTTTTCTTTCTTAAAATATGGAGTACTTCCATAATGGAAAGTGCTGGCACCTGGATCAGTCATACTTAGTTAGCCATTGTGAATGAGGCTTAAGATATGAATTACTACCCTAACTAAAGAGTCACTTTTATGAGTAATAATAATCAGCTTAAGATGATAAACCGAAAGACATTTGTGTGGTAGAAAGTAACATGAGCTAAGCTACTTTTTATCTTTTGTGGTATGGTGATTACTATACTAGTAGAAGTCCAAAAAATGTCCTGTCAGGATTGATTTCATTTAAGTTGGACTATCCCATTTCTCATCAAGAGAAACTTTCAGTTAAAAAGAAACCTTTGTTTGAAAATGCTTAATTGTTTTTATTATTATTTTAATTTTAACAACTTCCTTCAGGTGAGATTACCAAGGATTTCCAGAAATCTGGTTTGAGTTCTGTGGTTAATATACAACTTCAACAAGATGGACTTTCTTCAGAAACTCTCCAGAATATGTTAACCCTTATTGCCTCTGTTGCTGCTACAGGTTAGAAAGCTTTATAAACTTGTTACTTCTGTGTATGTTGAATGCTAACTCAATAGTAATTGTTGTTAGTTTTTATACAGTTTGTAACTTGTGTAAATTTATAAATGTATCTGTATTTTGGACTTAATTGTACTGCATTTTACTATAGGACATAAGGTATTTACATTAATATATTAATGAAATATATAATGCATTACTGTAGTTGTCAGTCTACGGACTCATGGTGAAAGTTGGAAAAAAATTGTAACTTTGTAAAAATTTTATTTGTTTTTTTTAAACTTATATATGAATTACACTTAAAATTGACACCTGTTTGCATTCTAGAAAAACATATCCCTCACAATAAATATATATTAAATTGTTTGTCTAATTCGGAAAAACTTTCAATCAAAATGATTTCAGAGGATTAAATAGCAGTAAAAAATACAACAAAATCGTTTAAAGAAATATGTTTCTGATATTTATGAATGTAAAGTAATTTCTCTGTATTAAAACTATTTATTTTGTCATCAGAGACATTAAAACTAGAATTCCAGGAGTTGGGAATGAAAAGTGAACTGTCTCGTCTAAGTGAAAGCACTGATAAGGAAGTGTGTGAAAGAGCCAAAGTTTGCCTCAACCTTCTTCATTCTACTCCTTGACTTTTAAAACAGATACAGTTAATGATAAACATGGGAAAAAGTCAAGAAATATGAATCACTAAGTGAGAATTTTGCACCTTATGTTTGTCACTTGTACTAAATATATATACATATACAGTATATACACATAATCAGAAGTGAGAAAGTTTGTCAATAATGTAAAGTGATCAGAACTGCTACTTAATCACTAAGTGAAAATTTTGCATGTTATGTTCGACACTTGTACTAAATATATACATACATACATATATAGTAGTATAATCAGAAGTGAGAAAGTTTGAAGATAATGTAAAGTGAACAGAATTGCTACTTAAGTACGATCGTTCTTTATGTATGGAAACACATTTCCTATCCAGACTTTTTAAAAATACCTAGCACAGAATTATTTATTCATTTAAAACCTTTTGAGAAATAGTTAAATTTGTTTTAGAATGTAGTCTTAGGTATCTCCTTTTGAGAGCAGCATAAATTTTTTGTGTTATGGAAATTTTTATCAAGCTGTTTCTTACTGTAAGGTAATAAAACTTTTTTTTTATGTGATGACACTCGAAAAAAAAAGAATGGGTAAAGCTGTCTTATCACATGTATTTAAAACTTGAAAAATATATTATAAAGACCATATATCTACAGTTTGAAACAATAGCTGATTCAGCAAACTACTGATCAAATCTGGACAAGAGATTAAATTTTTTTATCTGTAAATTTCTGCATAAAAATGGCCATTGACATCTTGTAACAAAGCCATTTCTAATTGAAACATTTATTAAACTAGAGTTAAATAATAGGGTGTATGAATAAGTGTAGCACAAGAGTAGCAAGGGTTAACATAATACACCATCACATAAAGGACAATACCATATTCATGGAATGTGAAATTATAAATCCTAAATCTTTTTTTTTTCTTTCTTGTTTTCTTTTCCAACAAATTTTGTTTCAAATCAAATTTGTGTACAGAAACAGATTATGCTCATACAATAATAAATTGATAATCAAAAATTTATACTCTTAATAAAAGTTATATTATGTAGATTGTAGAGAAAATACACGTTTGAATACAATATTGACCTGTTGAAATATATATTGTGCATTCTCTGCATAAAAGAATATTCATTATGTCGATAAATCATTCTTTGTCAATTTACTATTGTATTAAAATCACAAATCAGTTCAACAGAGCAAGGAATTTTAAGTGTGTAGAATGTGAGAAATAATAGAACACACAATACCTGCATTTAGTTACATTTTAGAAATGGTATTTTAAATGTTATAAAATGTATTGTTTAAAGAATGAACAACATTATATCTCATTTGTTTCACCTAAGCTATTTTTTTCAAAAATGACTAATTTTTGTCTTTTTTGCTTAATTATTATTTCATGGGTCTGCGTTGGGAAAGCTTAAAATTTCTTTGTTCGGTTCCTCCAGTCAGTCTGTTTAACTCGAGCATTGGAAGTTAACAAAATCTCTGTTAAAAAAAAACTGTTTATGCTAATTAAGTAAACAGTTGTATCTTTTCAGTGATTTTTTATTTCTGTTTTATAAACATTTACGGATGTACAGATTACTCTGCATCAGTTCTACATAAACAAAGGACAGAAAACTTAATATATATATATATATATATATGTAATTTTACATTATTATATCAAATAGATGCAATGTATGGAGCTGTACATACACGGGCATTAACTTAAAACCTTTTCTTTTAAACCTAATGCATAAAAAGTTTGTAATTGTAGTTACATTGTATCATTGCAGCTGATATCATTTTATTGATATAAGTAAAAAAATACCCCAATTTTTATCAAACTAGAAAGAGTGCAATCAATTAAAAAAACAGTATATAATTGTTTTGCTCCTGCTGTTTTTTTGTGCTAATACTTTTAACATCTGTGTGCTTGGATAAAAAGGTGTTGTTAATTAGAGTTACCCAGTAGTCTAATGAATATGCTATGAAGATGTTTTTTATATTCTGGATATAAAATGGATAAGTTTGTTGCTTTTGTGTCTTTCACTGTTACTTTAACAAGAGTTATTTTTTACATCTTATATGTAAACAGTGTTGTAGTTTTCATTCTTGGAATTTCAAAGCAGCTCTTAAGATATTGTATATGATATACTTTTTATTCATGTTTTAAGGAGACGTTATACAGAAGTATGGTTTGAAGGTACACGAGAAAACCAGTTTAATCTGGCCACATTTCACAAAGTAATTGCATGTTGTAATCACACCAATTTCGTGAATCCACTGTTAGTAATTTTGGATTAAATATCTGTATGTATGGTTTGTTTTATTTTTTTCTTCGAAACATTCCTTTGATGGGGTTGTGCAAGAGTGAAAAGATCATAAATAATTTGTTTCCAAATTTTTTCCCTGAATTAAGTATTCGTGGTGACTAAACTGAAATGGACAGCAATTGCCTGTTGTAAAAACACAAGTGTAGAGGATGACGTTTCAAAAGTCTTTAGTCTTCAGGTCAAGACAGAAGACTTTCGAAACATCATTTCCTACACTTGTGTTTTTACAACAGGCAATTGCTGTCCATTTCAGTTTAGTCATCAGTACATTATGCTTTTTAAAGTAATTGTTAACAAGTTTAAGTGGTTTATAATAGGTCACACCTCACATTTTAGTGTATTGTAGAGACAGAGATTAAAGGTGTTTTATTGTATGCATTATTGATCTCAGTATGAGCTCGACTGTGAAACCAAAGGAATTTGCTTCCTTTGTACTTCAGTAGGTTTAAACATTTTTGTGTGTAATGAAAAATTGTTTTAGACTTATGCTAGATGAGCTATGGTTATGGTGTTTTGTGCACTATAACAAACTATTTATATAAAGTTATTTACCTAGAAATTAGCTGCATGTAAAGTCTTGAAGATTAAATTATTTTGTACATGGTAAATTAGGAGTATGTGATGTAAAAAGCTTTATTGGTTTTTGTAATGTAGTGATATTGAAGCATTAAGAATATTGTTAAACCTACATACATTTTTGCTCTAGAGGTTTTCTCAAGTTTAAAATTTTTTGTTTACAAAATAGTGTGATGTGTTTGAGGATATTTTTACTTTTAATAGCATTTTATCTTGGTATGAGTGAAATAGGCGAAAACCTGAAATTTCTGTCCTTCAAAGACAGATAAATGACACATATTTACAAAATGTTGAGTTATTATAAGATGTTTCTGCTCAGCATTTGAATTGTATGAGTGTGTGTGTGTGTGTGTATTAAAGATGAAGCAGTTACAGAAAATTTGTAAATTAATAGTGTTTTATTAATAGCCTACAAGTGTTTACTAAGGATCTTAATTAAAGTACAACATAAATTAGTGGGATAGAATGAAAAATACTTATATTGAAGGATTACAGTACCATGTCTAGAATACTTGCGTATTGCAAGATCTAGTTTGTTGGTGCTATTACACCATGTATCTTTAACTTTGGATTTGTTTTATTACAATTAAATATTTTAAAACTGAGTAAAGATAAATGTAGGAATGGTTTTCCATTTATTTCTGTATTTATTTTTATATAGTGTTTTGCATAAAGCTAATAAAAAATAATAGTACTTTAGTACTGTTTGATAGAAGCTAATACTGTTGAATTGTAGACTTTTCAGATTTTTTGGTAGTCATGCTTATCAACGTAGTGTAGGATATAACTACGACAGTATATATATAATCCCTCAAGAGCTAAGACTAATATTTAACTTGCTTGAATTTAGAAGTGACATTCCATAATTTAGGGCAACTTTTAGAAGCCTTGGAATCTCTTAGCAACTAGTAAATGAGTGGGTTATATCAATCGAATATGTATTTGTAATTGTTTAGATTTTTGTCAGAAGTTATAATCTTATTCAATTATTGTAACATTGTATAGCTTAATTAATATTGTAAAAATATCATTTCTCGCTTAAGATTTTCTATGCACCTCAGGAAAGTTATTGAATGTGATAGATTAAATCATGTTCTACTTCTGTGATCTTATTTCTAACTATTTTTGTGTTTTGGATATTGCACGTTTTTTTGTTGTTTTTTTAACAGATCTGTCATTGTATTAAATTCAACATTCTCTCAGTGTTTGTTTTTTAGATGGTGTTATGTGTATTTATTTCACTGAATAAAGTGCAATATTTTTTTTGTTTGAAGTAAACCAATTTTAATAATATTAACTTCTGAAGCTAACTGCATAGAACTAAATAATATACCCACTAAGAAACATAGCTAATCAAATATACTGTTTAAACTGTCTTGCTTACATTTTTCATCAGTTAGACACCCTCACTGTTAGGCCTTAGGTTAGGCCTAAATCCATAAACTAAACTAACCGTACAGAAGAATCATTATAGTAAAGCTAAAATTAGTACAGTATAGTATAATCCGTATAATAAATGAAAGTAGATATATTAAATATTTTAACCAACACAGTTACCATGTGGTCGAGTACGTGATAAAAGTTATCCCTGGCACGGCCATCTTGTATTAAGGTTAGGCCTAAATCCATAAACTAAGTTAACAATGTGAAATAATTTTATAGCAAAGATGAAAATTAGTTAAGTACATTATTAATATGTTATTTATTCTACTTGAAATGAGCTATATCTAAAATGCACTGTATAATGGGAAAACTGGACGTGTGAGTTTTTCCACTTTTATAAGTCTTGCAACTCCAGCGCGTATATTCATGTACACATTCGCTAAAGCTACGTTACATACACTATCACAGATCACAACTAGAATTCAAATGATGATCAGAAATGATTTGAACTGGAAAGCTGTCGATTAGTGTGACACCACCTGTAAGTTTATGGTTGTTGTAACACAATGGAAGTAATACAGACACACACAACTGTTCTATGAATTTAAAGCAAACGCTTTCAGGCAATTCAAATGTTGTAAAGTGACATTTATATCTTGCTGATATATATTAGGAATATATTCAGCTTTTTGATATTTGCTTGTTACATAAGAGGTAACATTAAATCTAGCATTTGTTTATTTGTTGACTTTCGTACAAAACTACTCGAGGGCTACCTGTGCTAGCCGTCCCTTATTTTGAAGTGATAGACTAAAGAGAAGGCAGCTAGATAACACCACACTCCGTCAAATTATGGGCTACTCTTTACCAATGACCATCAAATTATAACGCTCTCATAGCTAAAAGGCGAGCATGTTCGATGACAGGATTCGATCCCGCGATCTGTAAATTGCGAGTCGAGTGCCCTTACCAACAGGGCATACAGGTCCAATTTCTATCACAGAATAAGACCACATAGTTTAAGTACGATCGTATCTGCCATCATATGCTGTAGTTATTAAACGACAGTGCTAACAGTATTACTGAGTGTGCTTCTCCTTTTCTATTTTCTTTATTAGATTTTCTAACAATATTAGTAGGACGTTGCATTAATGATGGCAGTTAATAACGTATCCGTCTTTGTACTGGAGAGGGGTTTGTTGTGCCAAAGAACGCTGGATATAAACTGTTGAAGTTGCATGTTAAAAATAACATAGGTTTCAATGAAATTTACAAAGAACTGTAATTTGAAATACAAATTTAACGAGATGCTTCCATACCGTATGGTATCAACCAACTATGTAATTTTAATGAGTGAAACGGTAGATCTTGAAGGAAACGTCATGTGATATTGAGTATATGAGGTATACCCAAGCCCGTAGCCAGAGGGGATACGAACGAACCCCACCACTCCCGCCAGAGTTCCACTCGCCTATTAACATTTATTTTTTTCCTTTTCTTTGATGATGGCCTCTCATTATATAATTGCTTTTGTAATACTTTGCATACATGCGGAAATAGCATTTTCGTACTTATCAGAGGAAATGTTTATTTGCAGTAATAATAAAGGAAACATTACATGTTTCGGAATTTTTGTTTTGTCCCTGGGCTCTAACGTTACATATGAAACGAATCCCACTTTGGATCAAACGGACATTATGTAGTGTATTTCGTTCAGTTTTTCTTGTAAGCAAGTCTATCACGCAATGAAAACAACTGACCTGAAAAGGCCAAATATGGGGAGTTACAATAAAAGCTAATTAACACTCTGATTGCCTAGTCAAGCTAAGTAACAAAAAATGT